CCTCCACTCCCGCGTGAGAGAGCGATTTGAGGAGCCACTCGATCTCCAGGGAGGGAAAAGCATCCCCAAAATCGTACAGTACCATGACAGGATGCTCATCTTTACTCTGAAAGCCACATGCCCTCGCATAGGCATCCAGCAACGTGATATTGCTGAGAAAATTCCTGCCACCCAAAAAGCCCCTCTGGGCCTCGGGAGACGTCGCTGCCACCGTCCGCTCGAGCTTCATGTCGATCGCACTCGCCACTAACTTACAATCCGAATTCTTCAGCGCCAACGCTCTTGTAGTAGACGCCGGCCGAAGGGCCCCTGAGGCATCGTCCGAACCCTCCCTACCGCTGGGCAAGAACACCACGAGATGCTCATTCCAATCCGTCGGCGGTGGCAAACCAGCAGCCAGATCCAGAGCGACCTCCTCCAGCGATAGCACCCCCAACGGCGACCTGCGCCACGCCTCATAAGGTAAACCGCCAGGACCTGGGGCAGAAGGACGAGCGCGGCGAGCAGCCTGCATCAGCTGAGCAGCTGTCGGAGGGAGCACATCAGAGAAATCGAACTGCGCGCCAAACTTCGCGAGATACTTGTCAGCAAGCTGGCCCCAATTGGAGCACCTCGGTTTGCGCTGAAACACAGGGCCCCAGTGACGACGCAGCTCCATCAGCACATCCTTCTGCGAGCCCACCACCTCTCCATCGCCGGGGAGACGGAGGCCTTGGAGCTTGAGAGAGCGAGCGAAGGGGGCCCAAAGCGATGCCCTCCTGCGCAGCGCACGACGGTGGGCATGGATGAAAGTAAGGGATGCTGCGTCTGGCCTGGCGCGAGCCTCTCGTTGCGCGAGAGCCGCTCCCCGTTCGTCCGAAAAGGCCTGCTGTTCAAGGGTGAATGCGCGAGCGCAGGCAACAGCGTCACGAAGCTCCACTAAGCCCCCTGCCAAGCACAAGTGCTCACGAGCAAGAGCCGAAGATGAAAGCAGCCGTTGCGCCGAATGCGAATCACCCCTCCATGCCGCACGTGCCATCGAGCGAAAGACCATTAATCTAGCCTCCGTCGACTGTGGGTTGCGAACCAATCGCTTCCGCACCAGACGAGCAGCCTCCTTCGTAATATTATTGGTAACCCTCCGCCTGGTCGCCGTGGTGAGAGAATGCCAGTCAACTTCAGCAGCCAGGCTCTTAATGTGACGAGCGTAGTCAGGATCCTGAAAGATGAACGACGGAATACGTTGTGTGTCTGGAGGCGCCGACGGCCTCGGATCCAAAGTGAGTGGGACAGGAGCGTGATCGCTGATGCCCTTCTCGTAAAGATACTCAGGGAAGTCTGGAGTGGACACCGTCATCGTCCACTGAATAGCTTCCCAGCTCTGAGTCGACAGAAAGATGCGGTCGATCTGCGTCACCTTCGGCTGCTGCCCCTCCTGCATCACGTAATGGGTGGGCACCTCGTTGTCCACCTCGAGGAGCATAGCGAAAATGCGTTTCCGTTCTGTTTCACCCACATGAGGCGCAACGTCCGAGACAGGTCTGCGGCGATCTATCTCGGGAGCACGGGGGTACATGGGCAAAGCAGCATAGGTATTGAAGCCACCCATGAAAATGATAGAAAACCTGTCAGGAGCTGTGTTAGCGAGTGCAACGTCCCGAGCCACTCTCTGCCGAAGCGACTGCAGTTGTTGTCTCGAAGCGCCGTAATTGTGTACATTGTAGATGACAGTGGGCACCGCAGGACGGGAATCGACGCTGACCCCAGAGATACGAAGCCGTTGAATCCTGCCAGGCACCAGCTGTGCATGCAAAAACCGTGCACGCTGGTGAACCCCACTCTACGCACAAGGGATGGTAATCGTGACACCACCAGTGTTCCGCTGAGGACCAAAAGAAGAGAAAGCTAGATGAGGAATGTGGAGTTTGTATAGCCCCTGCTGAAGTTCCACCTCCGTCGCGTGAACCTCTTGCAGGGCCAAGATTGTGCCACGTCGGAGAAACTGAGACAAGTACTTCATCTTGTGCTGACGGATGGGCAAGTCATGGTGCAACAGTGCCCGTGTGTTCCATGTCGCGAAAGATAGCGGAGCCTTTAGCTCATATGGTGCCTTCCAAGGAGCAAAGCGCCGACTAAAGACTCCACACGATCCTCTCGGCCTCTCCGAAAAGGCTGTTGAACGCTGAGACCAGGGCGTCCTTGTCCAGGCCAGCATCATTAATAAGACGATAATTCCACTCCAACGACGTCGCTTGCGTGGGGTCGTCTGGGATGATGAGGCGCACTGCTGGAGTCGAGGCGCCATACGCAACGCCCTGCGAGCGGTTGGCCCTCCAGCGATCAGGTAGGTTGGTGCTCTTGACGAGCTCGAACATTGTTTTGCATTGGGCCTCTCTGCGGATCAGCTGGCCGTTCCTATCGAGGCTGATGAAGAGCTCCTGTGGCTGAGACTCGGCATCGCGAGCCTCGAATCTGCGCCACCCGCCGCCGTCGGGCAGCTTGAGCGACTTGTGAGCGTGGACAACATGCTTCGCCGCCAATCCAGGAGCTCCCTTGAACGCGACCACATAGCGTCGAGCAGGAGAATCACCCGCAATATGCCACTGATCGTCTTTGAAACAAGCGTCCTCCAACCACGGTCGAACTGCGTCCTTGACGCTGGTAGCTGAGACCGCGGCCTTTGCTGAAGCCACGAAGCATGTGCGGCTGGGCTCTCGAGTGAAGCCCGCCACGTCAGCGTAGTCCGCCTGCGGGGCGGCCTGCTCGCACTGGTGGACAATATGTTTGAGCCGATCCATCTCGGAAGCCATTTTGCGGTGTACTTGCTCCAACGACGTTTACCGCTGGATGAGTTCACGAAGACGAAGAGCAGTCTCCTCGTGCTTGGCCTCCTGCTGCGCCGCGAACTTGCGGAGAGCCGAGGCCGTCTTATCAGCAAGCTGAATAGCCAAAGCTGAAGTGGTGTTGTTGACCGATGACAAGAAATCAACCTTGAGGTCCGCCACCAGTGCTTCCAGCTCGAACCTGCACACATAGGCGTTGGGGTCAGGGGCCACCGGGGTCGCAGTGCCACCTGATTCGTCGGGAGCGCCAGGCTTATTGGTAGCATCCCACGGGTCGCGGGCCTGCAGAGGATCGATAGGACCAGCAGACCCAAGACCATCCAACAGCACATCGTCGTCACAGCCGTCCTCCTCACGAGTCTTGGTGCGCTTGCCCTCGGGGGTGTCCGTCGTGGACCTCTCGCTGGCACCAGCAGCGACACGTTGAGGACGACGGGACTTGCGACGAGCCACCCTTTGAGAGCCAGCTGGCTGAGAGGCAGCAACAAGATTGGAAGCCATGCCTGCGGGAACGAAGCGCGCAGGAAACGTGACGTGACTGTCAGAATCAGGAGGCGCTGGCCTCAGTACAGTCGTCAGATGTGAGAAAGCAGCTACGCCCGTGGAAGGCGCACGTGATATACCGTGACCGCGCCTCCCACGGACAAGTCTGAGCGAAACACTTGAGCCAAAATGGCTACGGAAAGGCCGTGGACACGTGAAAACACGTGCCGCGCGCGCACGCGCCAGACGCATGTTGGGTACCCCACCTCCGCGCACGTGCTTTTATCCCGTTAAGAATCCGACGCTACCAAGTTGGGTCCCTGGCCTGCGGCTCCGTCGTGGCCCGAAGCACATGAAAGCACGTGCCCAACGCACGCGTACCGAGACCCATGTTGGAGACCCCCCCCCTGCGGACACGTATTCTTACGTGTCCGCTTCCGACGTCTGCTGTTCGACACCCGTCTGGTGGAGGGCCGTTGGCCGGCAAACTGAAAGAGAACCCTTACCGGGCAAATAGGCCGACATCATGGTCGGCGCCGCATCACAGCTTGTACACGCTCACCTTATAAACGTAAGCAACACACGTATATACGCACTTGATACATGTCGACACAGGTGAATGCATAGATGATTTGCAACATCTCGTACGAGCATGCGCATTATCAACGTAGCAGCTGTGCACAGTTGCAATGCCCAGCTGCACTGTGTGCCATGCGCAGATGCATGCAAATGAAACCAGCGCATAGCATGAGCTAACTAAACGACAATCTCAAACATAGCCAAGAATGTTGCTGGAACTGGAGCCACTAATATAAGAACTGTGGGAGAGGCTCAGGCTCAAGCTAAGCCTACGTCTGAGACCAGAAAAAAACGAATGATAGTATTGAAGCTGACCACTTCTTATTGCGACACGTGGGCAAAGGATACAACCGACGGCCATGCGCAGCTAGGCCGTGCTGGCATACGCTACAGCGAGACGACGCGAAGACATGTCAAGCCAAGCCAGGTCACGCCTCGCCAAGCAAAACAGGCAACGCTAAGCTGAGCCTACCGCAGCAGAGAATTTCAACCAAGGTGGGATCAGGTAGCCCCAGGAAAGATAACGAGCATGCGCTACTAGGTCAGGAAAAACCGAGCTGAATCAGTTGAAAGCCGCATTACACCGCAGCAGGCGATTGGCCAAGGTAAGGCCCAGCAGCACAATGCATACGCCACAATTTGCACCCCGTATGACTTCAGCTGTGCGCGCAGTTACAATTACTGCTACAATGGCAGGTAAGGGTACAGCGAGGCAAATTAAGCTGTCATGGAACCTCAGAAACACGATGTAGCGTATGAATGAACAGAACCCAGCGCAGTCACTAAGCTCAAGCTGGAAAGCCCAAGCTGACCGAACTTCCCGGCCAGATGAACAGATGCAGATCCAATGGCTGGACTTGGCAACCCAGCCAGAATCATCCCCACCAGCACGGTGCCCTGCTGCGCTAATTCGACAACGCCTGGATGCACGTACTCTTTCCCCACCCAGACAGCACGACTCACATATTATCATCCGCCTCATGTCTTACTCATCATCCGTACAATTCGGCAACTTGTGGACAGCATGGTGTCGAGGTATTCGGGCCGCGCCTACCATGAAGGCATACAATCAATCGAGCAATCAACAGGAGACTGAAAGCAAACGCCCAGCCCCGCTTTTGTAGAACGGAGAGGCGATGATCTGGCAACGAAGCCGGTGCGCGAGGTTGCACGCGTCCTGCGGCGTGGCGACACAAAGTGGAGCGACAAGGAAAGCATACATAACTACCAATATCTCTATATATACATAAATATAAACATACACCATGTACGTATATACACAAATACATACCTACCTACCTATCGACCTACCCACCCACATTCATACATACACATATGTATATATACATATATGTATACAGACACACACACCTACATACATACATACATACATACAGACAGACAGACATACAGACAGACAGACAGACAAACAAACAGACATACATACATACGTACATACATGCATACATGATCCACGCGCGCACTTCGCGCGCGCTTGGATTATCGTCGAAGGCACTCGACGCATCCCCATCCTATTCCTACTCCGACTCGCACTTGAATGATTTCCTTGTTACTCCTCTCCCATCTTCTCACGGTCCTCCCCCTCAGTCGAAAGTGAGCCTGGTAGGTCAAATATCATCCGTCTCCATGGGAGGCGGATGAGCTCACATTGCATCCAGCTCCATGTCGAAGGAATACGATATGGGGGGTGGATGGGTAGGATAGGATAAGATCGATGTATCGGTCTTTCCAGCACATAGCGAACACTAAGGTAAGTGTCCGGGCAAATAGGGCGCGCGTGCCTTGAGCCAAAGGCAACGGCGCGCGAGCTATACTCCCGAGACTATAACATCTCCCAAAGAGCTACCCTTAAAGTCGGGAGGGGAGGAGACGGAGAGTATAGCCGCGCAGCCGCTAGGCTCCACACAGGCCGCGCGCACGACTGTTTGCAAGAAAACAGTGTGTACAGTCTGGCCCGACACCAGACTGTAAGGCGAGTTTCCTCGCAAAGCATTTCACGCAAAATACGAGACAGCCCCTTCGGACGATGAAGGGCTATCGGCTCAGCTAGAGGTCAGCCAAACGGGCCATACCTCACCGAGCAAACAGGCATTGAGGCAAAGAGCCTAAATCATATAAAGCCGGCTCGTTGCCAGGCGTGAAATGTGAGGCTCGTTTCCGAGCAACTAGAAGGGCGCCTCTGTAGTAGGCGCCCATACTGGCAAATTGGACCGCGGGGGCAACAAGGACAGACTAAAATTGATTAGACTTGGGCTTGTTTCTGTCCTCGGGACCCCGAAAGGGAACAAACTGCTTCACGTCATACTTGAATGACTGAGTGCCTGACATCACTTCCAAAAGCAGCTCCCGATCGATGCTTCCCTTTGTATGCCCATCTGCGGTCATATCTCTAGTATCACACCACTGCACGTTATGTACTATACCTATATCCATGAGCTCACGTATCCAGCTGATATGTCCAAGCAGAGTCCGTTCTGTCGGTATCTTAAGATCCTTGCTTGATAGTGACTTATAAACCGACTCAGCGTCAATGGTAAGAGTTACTTTAATGGCTAGGCCTCCAACTTCACGCATATCTCGTAGTTGTCGTGGAGTCAGAGCCCCTGCCTTGAGCTCGTGGAGAGTGATGAGCGTAGGGTAACACTCATCGAGGTTGTGCGCAGCTGCGAGTGCCTCCGCAGCATAGCTGGACCTCACCTGCAGACGGTGCGATTTGCATAGTCCGTCACAGAGGTGAACGACGGACGTGCCTTGAGGCGAGTTTCCTCGCCGTAGTACATTGGCCCCGCGTATGCCATAGCCCTTGGTCTCATCATCCTCCTCCCCGGTGAGCTTCCGATACCCCGAATCGCTGTGTATGTCAACTTCATTCGTCGGCTTCATCCGAGGGAAGGTGATGCGTTTCGGGCTGCTGATCAGCTTTCGCGTCACAGCATTCAGACGTCTGACTTGCAGGTTGGCGGGCTCTTGGATTTTCCGGAGAGAGACCACGTATACCATGAGCCAGATTTGAGTAAGAAGGGCATGGGCGAGGGCTCCTCGCAAGCTGACGAACATGTCGGTAATGAGTTTCGTGGCTTTGGCATCGGCCGCCGCTCCTGTAAGTTCTGAGTGTGTGATAGGACGTAGTTGTTTGATATACTCGTCCTGATCCATGATCACATCCCCTTGATCATTCCTAGTGTAGCGAACGGCGCAGTTCGTATATGTGTGTTTGTTGAGCTTGCATTTGCCAAACACCTTTTCGACACGCTGTACATAGTCGTCTATATTTTTCTCTAGGCCTGTCATGTTAATATCATCGACATGTTTTGCCGTTAGCAAATCTTGGCTGAATTCAAACTCAGGATCATAACTGGTCGGTGCAAGGCCTATAGCTCGTGTGGTCGTACGAAGTTTGAGAGAGAACGCTCTTGGAGCGTCCTTTGTACCCGTTCCTGGTTTGAGGCACCTGAGGCAGCGTCGGCTTTCGTCATAGGATGAGAAGCCGGGTAGTGTACGAAGTACCTGGGCACTTCCCGGTGGAAGGGCGAAGCAAACCATGCGAGTTTCCTCGCCGGTGGCATGGGCAAGTTCCTCATAGGTCAGACCCTTGAGGACGCCTTGTCGATATCCATGGGTGCTAAGATCCACTCTGGATGACATGCCGCCTCACTTGCCAGGAGTCTTTGGGGCTGCCTTCGGGCGGTCCCCGAGAAAGTTTCCACATCAAAAGCCTCAGCATCCATAAATCCACGAAGGACAAGTCTGAGACGAATGGATTTAACGTTCTCGGTACCCACCTTCACAAACTTCCACTTATATACAGACCTGGATGTCATGATGTTGGAAGCTTTGGATAAATCATACATCTCAAAGCATCGGTTATCAATCCAGATTTTGAGTTCAGTGTACAAAGCTTCACTAACCTCTTTTGGACGTGCTGCTATGTCGGCTTTGGTGAGTAGGTCATATACTCTCATCGTTGCGACCATATCGGTGTCGAGCTGTGCAAGTTGAGTCTGATCCAACACTACCTTTGACATTTCTGATGTAAAACATAACTCAACATAGGGACCATATTCATCACTGTCAAGAGAGTAGCTCTCCTCAGGTGTGGTTGAGCAGAGAGAGACTAGACAGGGCTCTCGTGGTTCAGGCTCGTCTCCGAGCGCGTCCGATAATACGATATCTTCTTCGTCCACAGATGCTAAAACCAAAACACATTGGTCGGGCAGCGTGGTTGTTGGGACGCAGTAGAGATAATCGTCGGTAGTTGTCGTAGGATGAAGGTCCATACGTAGCTCGTCGTACCACTCTTCCAGCATCATAGCTTCGATATTATGTTCCTCGTTTTCCTCATAGATTGTTGACAGACGGCCTTCACTCGGCGATGAAGCACCTGGGATATCTGGAGGAGGCCTGTTTCCAGGCGAATCGTGTTCCCCAGACGTGTTGCTTGAGTGCTGATACTTGGCCAGGTCGTCGTGAAATCCTAAGGAAGGGACACGTGAAGTCAAGCACTGGATAAGTCTGGAATGAGTGCTACCAGTAATTTGAGAAATGTTCCGGCCGGTGCCCACACACTCGTAGTAGTGGAAGGCTGGGCTGATAACATTGTCGTAGTGGATCAGCGTAGACCCTGTGGCGTACTTTACTGCAGGTAGACTTGACACACTTTTGGCCAATCTAACTGCTACTACATGTTCTACTCGGAAATAGTTTCGCACGAGATACTGTTGTGCTAGATGTACGCGCGGGCGAAACTTGCTGTCGTCTGAAAGATTGAGGTTTCCCTTGTAGTCTGGGATGTAGCCGAAGACTTTGGCAGGTTTCTCTTCGCCAAGGTGTGCCACATACGTAAGGACGGTTTGCGTGGCCATATTATCCATGCCAAGTTCCCGTGTGAGGAGACATTCAATGTATAGTGTGTGACGAGCGTCAGGATACATCACAATTACCTCACGAGATCCTGCCTTGACAACAATATGTCCTCTTTCAGGCACGTTGCGGATCACGGGGAATGGGCCGTTCCAGCCTCCATGATCGTCCTCAGTGGCAGCGGGTCGATGGTAGTCGACTAGATCCCCTGCTGAGTAAAGGCGAGCACCATCTGGAGCCGTTTTAGCCCTGAGTGCACGATTTGTCTTGGCCACAGCAGTGGCTTGCGTTATGGCTTCTAGGCTAACTTCCCTCGCACGACGTTCCCGTTCGTGCCCTGATGTCTCGGGTCCCTTGGGAAAGTCAAGGGCGTCGAGATCGGGAAGAAAGGAGGGCTGGCGCCCAGCGTGTGCTTGGTATGGCGATACTCCGCTGTAGAACGTAAAGGCGTTGGTAACGAAGATGCCTTCAGCCAATACTCTAGTGAATACAACAGGGATGTTGTGTCGATTCAGCTATTCCTCAATCATGTGGAGGACGCCCCTGAGAATGCCGTTTCGTGACTCAATTGAAGTCGCGCGTTGGCCAGGCGCTCGGATACGGAGCTCCGCGCCCTTATTGGCCATCATGGCCTTAGTGGCATCATTGTTCAGGGCGCCTTCTCCGTCTGAGTATAAGACTTTGAAGGGTCCATGATAGGCAATCCAGCAGTAGTGGTAGGCGCCAAGTATAGCATCACGCTCTCTGTCGGAGATTTATTAGCCTGCTGCCAGGCGAATACAACGATCCATGATGTGAAATATGGTCCGTTTCTTGTAAAACATGAGGTCCATTTCGCCTTCATCGAGCCAATTACCAGGAAGGCCCACCGAAGGTAATGTTGAGTTTCCTGGCCGTTCCCATGCTCTGCATTCCCGACAGGTATCGCAAACTTCTTCGATCATATTCAGTCGAACGTTGTCCAGTCCCACTTTGTCTAGGATTAGCCTCATCTTGGGTTCCTTCGCATGATACCACCGCAGGTGCAGTTTGCGGAGTTCCTTTTTTAACGACGTGAGGTTCATGACTACGGAGATTTTGCAGACTGCGTTGGATGTCAAATCTCGCCCAGTCGGGTAGTCGTGGAGCCCCCGAGCCGGTGGAGGCAAGAGGGTTCCTTGTAGCTCTCCGCAGTCGGTCTCCTTCGTCAACTGCATCTGTCGGTGGTGGTACGCCTTGTAGGCGGCCACGACGGGCCGCTACCTGTGGCGCTTCGCTAGAGGACGCAGAAGGCGCGTTTCCACGCTCGGGGGCGTCTC